ATTGTCTTGCTGCTTTCCGAGCTTTTCTGAAGTCCGAGTTCTGCGAAGAGAACATCGAGTTCTGGTTGGCCTGCGAGGACTTCAAGAAAACCAAGTCACCCCAGAAGCTGACATCAAAAGCAAAGAAAATCTACAATGACTTCATTGAAAAGGAGGCTCCCAAAGAGGTAAAGAAAACCTATTTAAACATTAAGTGCCCTGTTCTATGAGTTCTTACAGCCTTTCTTTATTTCTCTGAACTCACTTTAAGATACAGATGCCAAACGGCATTGTACATACCTCACTGTTAATATCTATGTCTGAATCTAACTCTCTCCCTAGCTGCCTTTTCACTGAGCTGGAAAATGGCACAAGCAGCATTTCGGAGAGTTTCCATCTTAACTGGGAAAAGTCAACAGCCGCATTTAACACCTGTATTCGAGTTTAGCACTGAAAGATAGTATAGATGAATTTTTTTATATTAAAGAAGAATTTTCTTAAAGAAAATTTGATTAATTTAACCCTGTAGTAATAGGGTCTTGCCTTTTTTACCTCTTCAGAAATTTTATGGTGTATTATACTTACTTGAATTCAGTTCTCAGAAGTAAATGTTCTTTTTTTTGTATTTCAGATAAACATAGACTTCCAAACCAAGAACATGATTGCACAGAATATTCAAGAAGCCACGCATACCTGCTTCAGTGCAGCACAGAAGAGAGTTTATAGCTTAATGGAGAATAACTCATACCCACGGTTTTTAGAATCTGAATTCTATCAGGAGCTGTGCAAGAAGACGCCCATCACCAGAGCGGCCCAGGGGACATGAGCGATGGAAAAGACCGAGAAGCAGCCTCTCAGCTAGCGAGGAAGCAAGCCACAGCTCATGGCAGCATCCTGACCTGAAAGACACAGATACCCAGTGCTCAGTCTGTTTGCCATGGTGCAGGGACAAATACTGACTGGTGCAAAGCTGATGGCGGGCGTTCAGAGGTGACGGCAGAAGTGTGCCAGCCAGCTGCTGGCCACGCGCTTCTCTGCGAGTGCTGCAGTGAAAGGTGACTCCGTGCATTAGACCAAACCGTACAGCGTGAGAGTCCTCCTCACGGCTGAGGTGGCGATGCACAGGTCAGAACAGAGCTTCCTCCCTGTGAGCAGAAGCTGCTCTGTGCAGTTGCGTGGTGCTGGCAACTTGAGTAATTGGTTGTGTATTTGTTTTTCCTAAACATCAACCAGTGTTGCTGTTGTCAGTCGCTCAGTGTGTTCACACTGGTTCTGTAAACTGCCTCTAGCTGCAGAGAGGTGTGTTGGGTTTCTGTGCAACTTCCAGACAGCAAGAGTGCTGTGCAGCGAGGAAGGGGTATGACTCGGCTCCCAGAGGAACAGGTTCTGCGAGTAAAGTATGCAGGGCTGGGTTGTGTCGGCAGGGCTGCACGAGGCCAGACCGAGGGTGAAACTTGGCCAAGGCGAACAGGAGCTATATAGTATTATATTTATATGTGGATTATGATTGTGTTGAATGTTGCAATAATGTCATAATTCTGTCTCGAGGACAGCAAGCTTCAGTGAAGTCTCTTACTGTTTTTAATAAACTATTTTGATACAAAGCTGCTTTTGTTGCTTAACTTGTTTTGTGCACACAGAGATACATCATCTGGCGCTAAACTCCAGTGTGGGGATTGCATGTCCTGGGTGTGATCTTAATAGGGCTAATTTTAAAGCAGTTAGTTCTTAATTTGCCAGCCAAGTGTTTTGTTTGGGTTTTTTTAACAGAATAAGAATCCTCAGAGCTTGAAAGCTTAACAGCTCACATCCTCCATCTTAATGAAACCTCCCCATGAAACCGATCTGTAAGACAGTGCAAGGCACATATATGGCTAGACATGATGACAGGTCAACGAGGAAGCAGCAGCAGGCCAGGGAAGCAGCAGCATTGCTGCTGGAGGCCACAGGATGCTCTTTGGAATACAGGCACCAGCAGTAGCACAGTTGCTCCTGCTCAAGACCTCTGCTTCAAAAAGGGCTTAGGAGGGCTCTAGTATCAGGCTGTAAAACCCCTGTAGAGTCAGTAGAGGTAATACTACAAGAAAAGTGTTTGACTCCCTGCTAGGTGAGTGCTTCTTAGGGGGAAGTTACTGGTCATCATTATTCCATGTCAATTTTTCTAACTGACAACATTCAAAAGCAGCATTTCCAAAACAGTCCCACAGTTGTAAGCCCTAATTTGTTAGTTTTGTGACTTGTCTGAACTCTAGCTCTGTTTAGGTCCTGACTCCACTCCTCAGGTCACAGCTTTAATTGTTTAGTTCACATACAGCCACAGCAGCCAATTTTGCAATGGTCCACTTCCCCAAGCATCAAGAAAATTCTAACTACAGGGTTTTCCACTACAACTATATATCCAAAGATTGTTCAAAAGCAACTACTTCATGCGTGTATATACATACTGCAGGATATATCACAGTGTGTATATATACATATACACAGATACATATATTTATTACACTGCCTCTATACATGGAAAGAAACAAATTTGGCACAGCCCCCACTTTGATATAGCTCCATTTCTGGGGCTGAGAGCTAGCGCTCATACAGCCAAGTCTGCTGATCTGTAAGTCCACATAAAACAAGCACAAGAAAAACTCAGCCCAATAATTTACTGCAGAGGAAGTGTTTTTTTTTCTAAGCAGGAAAAACAGATTTAGGCTGATAATTGCTTTTGTAATCTAATGAAGTAATTCAAAGAGCATAAAAATAGCCAGAGCTATACCTATTAATAATGACTCGGAGCCAGGGCAGGAATAATTCCATGAAGCTTCATTGGCTTCAGTGAAGCTGCATTAATCTGTGCCAATTTGGGATGTGGTGATTAACCACTGCTGGTGTTTGGTTTCAGGGAAAGAAACATTTCTCATTTCAGCAGGTGCCAGAACTACTTATAGCACAGTAGTTCAGTTCAGAGGGGAAATTAGGTGGGGCTATTAGGCAGGGCATCACTGCCTGAGGGCTGTTCTTGTATGTTTTTAAGATTTGAATCATGAACATTGGTCTTTAGGAAGTCTGTGCAGGCAGCGCTGTAGCTTCCCACCGAGGTAGCAAACCAAGCAAGCCATGCCGAGTCCCTGGCATGGTCTGTCTGCAGCATCTGAGAGCCCTGGTTTCAAGGCTAAGCTTTGCAGCAAAACAGTTTGGTGTATCAACAGAAAAAAAAAATTTAAAAAAAAAAAAAAATCTTATTTTTAGTAAAATACAACACATCTGTGCACACAACATTCCTTCCAATTATTACACTTCCAGTTTTTGATAAGAGCCCTGCTTTCCCAACTCCCAGGGGTAAGCTTCACCAGAAAAAAGGGCACTAGAGGCACATGGGGAGTGCTGCAACCCCTGAAAGATTGCTATGGAACATTTCCCAGGGAAATACAAAACCACCGATTGCTCTAAGAGATGCTCCTTCCATGCTCTGGGCAGCCTTACAGCTGCAGTTAAAATTGATATTCTGGTATCAGTATCCAATGGCAACAAATAATAAACTGCTCGTTCCTCCACAGCCCGCTGAACCACTCACCCTCCCGCCCCGGTCCCGCTGGGCTGCGCACAGCCAGACGCGCCGCGGTGGCGGGGAAAAGGCCGGTCTGGGAACGGCAAAGGGAGGGCGGCAGAGCCGGGGTCCCGCGGGCCAAGGTGAGGGCACTGCTAAGCAGCCTGCCAGAGCACAGTCCTTTTTTTAGCCTCCATCAGGTTATAAAACAGCTCCAGCCCATATCCCTGTTGACAGCCTGGGAAGGAAAATAAGGAGAAGGGATCCCGACAGGTAATCACGTTCCAGGAACCGTAGCTGCAAAGGAGCACGGGTCCTGAGCAAGTCTGTAAACAAGCTTAGCATTTTTAGAGAAAGGACTTGCTGCTGAGGACAGCGAGAAGTGGAGATCTCCAGAGGGCGGTGGGTGGGAAGGCACCCCAGCTCTGCCGGTACAGCCCTCAGCCGCACAGCGAGTCCTGGCCGATCCCAAGAAAGTCAGTGCCGGTTCATGCACTGCTAACATAACTGATGCTGGCATGTAGAGTCTGGGGATCTAGAATTACCAAAAACCAAAGCAAATCTGCAGTAAAGGCAAATTTAACTGTCCATGTATCACTGGTTTTAAGCTAGTCTCGCAATATTCGTGCTTTTCTTATCTGCTAGAGGCAAGCGATTCCCCTGCTTTCATATCACAAAAAATGCATTTCCCACCCTGATGATTATAAAGAAAAATTTGAAATTCCAACTGCAGTATCCCCAGTAATTCCCCAAACCAGAACTTAATGCAAAGACACTACGCAGTCATTTAAAAAACATATCTAATTTTCTAAGCCAATCTCGTGATTTTGGGAAACTAGGTCATGAGTTTCAACTGTCTGGATCCAGCAACAGCTTGGGGTTTTTAATGGCTTGCGCTGCATAGGGCAATCTGAAGGAGAGTCCTCCATGCTATCAAGAAGGCAACATGTGAAGTAACCTCCTAAAATACGACGCCAAAGCAGCTGACCCTCGGCAAGTGCCCTCTGGCCGAAAGGCTGGAGAGGACCTCTGAGAACAGGGTGAGCTCAAGAGCAGTGCTGACTCACCCCTCCAGTCGGGTGGGAAAGCAATGCCGCTGAACTGAAATGCAGTGCTCTTGCTCCATGTATTTATGTATTGTGGCTGAAAAATGTACCAACACTATAAATAAAATCTGCATTTCCACTTGAAATTCCAGGTCTCCGTTTGGAGAAGGGGACGCTAATGACGGTTTAAAAGGCTTTATAGGCACGTGTATATGTGTGTGGAAGGGTTTCTGGGATGAGACTTCATAACTTGGCAACTTGCATGGAGCAGAAAAGTGACCTTTAGAAGTAGTTTTAGGATCTTCATGGTTTTTGGTTTTTTTGTTTGGTTTTTTTTTTTTTTTTTCCCCCCCAAATTTGGCTTACTGTCATTCAAGTTGGAAAAACTGGTCGGAACCTGGAGCAGCATCCCAAATTAATCTTCCTTCAGGTGGCAAAACGCTACCAATGGCTCCTCCTCATCCCACCAGCACAGCAATACCTGGTGTCCCTACCAGTTCACGTATGCCAGGAACAAACTGCCAGGGAGCAGCAGGAGACGGGGACAGGACTGGAGACAAGGCTACTACATCAACCCAAGGTCCATCACAGAAACACAGCTGGTGACAGACCTACCTGCAACATAGGTCCTTGATCCATCCAGGAGAGAGAGCTGGGTATGAGGTTGCACCCACAGCACGGTCCAGGGTAAACATAAACCCCTCAAGGCTGAGCTTAAATGGAGCCCCTGGCCGGTGGGCTGCAGGTGTGGGCGGGGACCCAGGTGGGGCTGCTCAGGGCAATCAAGGCCATTAGTGCCCTCAGGGCCCTGACACAAATACGAAGGAGCCCTGTTCTGAGGGTTACTGTGCTGGCCATGTGGGCCTGTCAGCTCATGACCCCAAGGCAGTCTGAATTTTTGAGGAGGGTCCGCAGTCGGATTTGTGGTGAACACCCCCAGAAATTAGCCTTGTGTGGTTCTGTAGATGTGCTAATTGGCATTGCCCTGAGCGCTGTCACTGGGCAATGGTGGCTGGCCAGCACCGAAACCCGGGGAAAATAGTCCCACTGTCATCCTACGTAGGAGATTAAAATGTGAGTCCTTTGGCAATCTTTCATTAAAAGAATCATTTAGATCAGAGTTTCCAACAGCTACAAAGTACCCATGAGCCACAATTAAATGATGTTCCATTAAAAATATTAAATACCCCATTCAAGATAATCTAATTGACAGAAATTAGTACTTATGTTTCCCTGCCAGTT